AGAGAGAGAGAGAGAGAGAGAGAGAGAGAGAGGAGACCGGGGAATCCAGAGAGGGGAAGCTTCAGGCTCGGGTGTATTAGAAGTAGATGGTATTGTGTTGATGAGCATCGCTAATGTGTTTTTGATCAGTGCGTACGCATCAATTGCGTACATAGAGGTAGGCAGGTAGGTAGGTAGGTACATGCATTCTCATGGACCTGGACTCCGCCACTGATAGATAGTATTAGGTAAAACCGGCGAATAGCATGGGATATGAGCGCCGAAGGCGCCAGCGAAAAGAGAAAGGAAATCCACTGCGGATTGCTCCAATGTGACTGTAGCGCAACACACAAGCTTTAAAAAAAAAAGATAGCAAAATATCGCTCACTAGTAGAAATTTACCTCCAGCCTCCATTCCCCCTGTGGTCATCATCAAGATCATGATCAAGTGCAGCCATCACTCATCGTCGTCGTCCACCTCTGCTGTCTCGACGAACGTCAACTCCGCGACTTGGCCTTCGGCCATGTTGAGGTTGATGCCGTCGATTGTGGATGAGCTCGGCGTCGGCTCGCGCCTCTCAACTGGCGAATCCTCGTTGTCGCGGACTACCAAGGCATTCAGCAAAGTCCAGCTGTAGAAGGGGGAAAAAAAGAAGAATGGGATAGATGTAGGAAACCTACCTGGTAGCGCACCTCCACGAACATACATGGTCGTGACGGTCGTCTTCATCTTCGGCGAGAACAGATCGCGGGCGGCAACCTCCTTTCCTCCAGCTGGGGCCGGGGAGACGGTTCCGCCGGCCTTTTGCGTGATACCGATCCCGGATCCACCTTCCCCGGTACCAAGCTGGACCTCGGGGCTCATCTTCAAGGCCGCGCTGGCGTAGTTTAGGGCGGCGTTGAATCCTTGCATGTCTCTCCTCTGGGCCGCCGAGTGCAGCTGGAGGGCTCGAGGAGAGATCTCCTTGCCTATGCCCTGGAGGGAAGTGTCCTGGGCAGCGGCGGGTGGAGTCGTAATCGGAGCAGCTGGAGCGGCTGGGGCTGGGGCTGCAGCTTGAGCAGCGCTACCTGCAACAGCGGCACCTTCGAGAGCGTTCATCAAATTGGATACGTCTTGCTTACTTCCGAATGAGATTTCACCATCACCGACTACCAAGGCAGGCGAATAGGCTCCGAGATTGATGTTGAGAGGAAGGGCGTTGAGGTGTGCGGAGAAGAGAGCGACGACGACGAATATGTAGTTGGAATGCATGGCTGCTGCGGCTGTTCATATATGATTATAATGGTGAATTGGCTTGGCTGACCGCACCGAGAATGGTTGTTTGCTTGCCTGAAGATGGTGCTTGCTAGGAACGAGATTAAGTAATTAAGATGAGTACAGATCAAGAGCGTCAAGCTTCCGATGATGAATATGACTGGGTACGAAATAAGGGATTAGAGCGCAGCTACCGATCGAGAAGAAAAGGATGGAATCATACGAAGAGATCCTTTTTTATACGAAAGAACGGGGAGGGCCCAACCTGGCCCTAGCACGACTGACAAAGTCCCGTCCGTCCTGATGCGCAGCCAGGACCCATCCCCATGCAACCTCCAACCAAGATCCTCTGCGTCCCTTGGCTCCGAGTGGTCTGAATGTGCGGTTCTGACTGGCGGGGGTGGCTCCCAATGTTATTAAGAAACGCCAATGTGACACGATCGACGTGAGCAGGGAAGAGGGACGATAGCAGATCTGGGCCCCTCAGCACTGATGTTGAGCCGGTCAAGCCTTAAACAGTAGAGACTCGCATATCGGCTGGATCAAAACGACGTTTGGCATGCGCCGCGGTGTTGCTAGTAAACAGAGCTCGGTAGACGACTTTGATACTCGTTAATATCTTGGCGGTCTGAGTGCTGCCTCGACACAACACACGGCCACTCACTCAGACCGCCCCAAAGCGAACGAAGAGCCGCATTTAGTTGGATGTACGACGTAGACACCTGCAAAATGGGACGTCCAAGAAGACAAAGGCAAGGACTGAAAACGGCGCAAGTCTTGGTAAGGCTCCGAGCACTTGGCTGCCCTCCAAACCACCACTCATGAACGACGAAGCCCGGGAGATAAATCTCGGCGATCTGAATATCATTTCGGACTGCTTGGTATCCCGCAAACAATCTACAGCCACTATGACTTCTTGGGTGCAGGAAGTCCCGCGAGAACCCTGTAGGGAAATTGCTTGGTGCTTCTTGGAAAGGCTTCAACGACAATGACAGCACTTGGCAAAATTGCCACAATGCAGACATCACCAGTATAATATCATTTGAGACCGCCACATGTAATGTAGAGTGTCTCGATCGAACCTTTTCCTTTTTTTGTTTCGATTCCTCAAGAGCCTAATTAGGAAACTGAGCTCGCCACCGAGTCGAAATACTGATATATAACAATCGCTACAAGGATACCTGTCGCCTCGTTGACTTATCCAGAACTTTCCAGGCTTTTTGCTTTGTAATGAACACAAAGCTCTTTTCAGATGCGTAAAAAATGTTGAAGCAAGCAACGGAGCGCCATATATGATCAATGCTGATTGGGTACATCTGTAGCGGCGGCCTGAAGAATGCTAAACAGCAAGGTCTGGCGCGACTGGGAAGAGCCTCGAGGAAAAGAAAAACTGAAGGGCTAGGGCATAAAATGTCTTTAAAGGCCAATGATAGTGTAGGTGATACGACACTGGTTAACAAGGACAGACGAGCCGACGAACATAATCTATCCAGATATCGACAATAGCCCTTGGCCCTTCGGAGAGCGGTGATAAGTATCTCCAAACAATCCTAGGAGAGCTAGCTAAAAGCATCAATTCTCATCAAAGAAGCAACTGCACTACCTTGAGATGTGGAAGTACTCAGCACATATGCAATATATAGACTTCTCTGAAAAGTCATTCGGCGACGGAGTCGTCGAATCCTGTGATGAAAAAGTCAGAACTTCTTCCGATATCAGATCTCCGCTAAACGTGTTCCTCTCCCAAGATATTCTCTCACTTCACCCCGTTGTGCTCCCAGATATCGTCTGTGCCGACTCTCTGGGCAGTGCCGTCGCTTGCCAATCTTTTCGCCAAAATCTCGGCATCTCCACAGAGCAGATCGAATTCACATCCAATGATATAGAGTTTCCGGGGAAGCCTGTCTCGCGGCGCAGAGGAAATACTCAGCCTCGGGTCCTCTAGGTCAGTTCCTGGATGAATATCTGCCCAGCCAAACGCCGAGCCATTCTTCTCCAAAATTCCTGTGGCGGCTCTTTCGGCTTGGTTGCAAGCTTCTCAGCAAGAGTGGCTGTCCAGTTGACTGGTGGATCGTATGCTACAAACCCGGCTATCCATTTTTGCAGGCTTTCGTCCTGACAGACAGCCAGAGATAGGTTCGCTCCCGCACTAAAGCCTCCCACAGCAACTCTTGCCTTGTCAAATGGCAGAGCATCGCCACTCGATATCGCATGTATGAGCTCTGTCACAGCATCTAAACCGGCCGAGAATGGATGCTCAGGAGACTGTGGGTAATCGATCGAGATTACTAGGACTTTGTTCTTTTCTCAAAGAATCCCGAACGGGCCTAGTCGTCCCCAATTGGGCTCATTATCGCAAACCCTCCGCCATGAATGTTGAGGTAGAGTGGGAGCAAAGGTCGCCGCTCTTGTATGACTTCGGTGCGAACACTCGATTTCTGAGGGTAGGTCGGCATGGATAGCATTTGGTGAAGGTTGGAGGAATCGCGGATGCCAGGTAATTTTTGGAGTCGGAAATAGTGTGTCACCAGAAACTTGAGGGTATGTATTCGAAGGAAGAATCGCAATTGTGTGAAGAGACCCAGCTGGTCATACACCTTGGACTGCCATCGTTGACACCCGAGTATGCAATTCAAAAAAGCAACTAGTGGTACAGGCAGATGGATGACTTGTGAGTGAGCAACCGGCGCCGACCTGGGTACTCGGATAGGGGGAGGGGGGGCATCTTGCGCATTCCAGTATGTGTATATATATACATATACATATACATAGGATGATCGCATACAGACTGGAGTGCAACTACAATTGTAAGTATGCGAGCGGAAGGTCCCGCGAAGCTCGTATACGGAACAACAATACGAGACTATCGATCGTATTCGGACCACGGAACTCGCCTGGAAAGCCGATGCTTGTTTACTTAGCAGACGTCAAAGCCGCATCGTCATCGCAAAATATATGTTCAAGGTCACTCACCCGCTGTCAAAGTCTTGAAATTCAACGAGAGATCGAGCCCTGCGCCAGCTTTTACTGAGGTCGGCTCGTCATGGATTCACCGAAGTATGAAGATTCCCACCTCGACGAGAAGGCTGCTGCTCTCAGAGATGAAAAGACCCGGCCGGATTGTGAGATATGCAATGCACGCCACCAGAGACGCCAAGTTCTAAAGAACAGTCTGTTAATCGCTATACTATTACTTGTTTGGCGGTATTCTCAATCTCTGCTCGCCCTATCAGGAATTTACTGGAATGACCAATATGCCTCTACCGATGGCAACGACACCACAACACCAAGGCACATGAGCTTCGATACAGTACGGTACTCACTTCAACAGCCCCCCGCCCTCCCCCCACCCCCCCCCTTTAAGAATAAAAAAAAGCCCCAACACTGACTGTTTCCAGATCACACCTAGCGAAAAACTCGAATGGCACTCCTGTTTCTCGCACGTGTTCTGTGCCCGCTTGACGGTCCCAATGGACTACAACCGCCCCCTCAACACCTCATCAGCCAATCCCAAAGTTCACATCGCCCTTCTCCTGATCCCAGGCAAGCGCAAGGGCTCCAGCAGATCGTCCACGTCGCCATTGCTCCTCAACCCCGGCGGTCCCGGAGGCTCTGGCGTGCAATTCGCACTCTTAGCCGGGTCCCAGCTCCAAACAGTCGTAGGCGAGGAGCAAGATGTCATCGGCTTCGACCCCCGCGGAGTCGGCGCCACCACGCCTCGAGCGGACTGTTTCGCGTATCCGTCGGAAGCCGCGAATCGTGATGCGTCTCTGGTGGTTAGAGATGAGGATTACATCCGTGGCAATTTCCATCGCGCGACGTGGGTGACCGCGGGCACGGCCATTGGGACTGTCAACTCCAGTGCGGATTCCTTGCTCAGGCTTGATGTTAGGGCCAGGACGATGGCTAGGCTTTGTGGAGAGAAGGATGCGCTGTATGGGAATGGTAGTATTCTGAGATACGCCCATACGCCGAGTGTTGCGCGGGATATGCTTAGCATTGTTGACGCTTGGGATGAGTGGAGAGGCAGGACCGGTGATGCTGACCCGGATGAGAAAACGGTCATGACTCCAGACTCGGACGGTGAAGCTAGTGCAGACACGAAAGGAAAGCTTGTATATTGGGGTTTCAGTTACGGAGTAAGTGCCTTTCTTGACCCTATCGGTGTATGCTGATGGCGAGACTGTCAGACTCTGCTCGGGGCAACGTTCGCGGCCATGTTTCCGGACCGAGTCGGTCGAGTCATCCTCGGTACGCTTTCATCAGTCAATATGAACATCTCGGTTGTTAATTGTTGCTCTAGATGGCGTAGTTGACGCAGATCACTACGTCTCCCCCGTCTGGCAAGGTACCATCCAAGACGCCGACAAGGTTTCCACCTCATTCTCCTACTATTGCCACAAAGCCCGCGTCAATTGCGCCCTCTACCGCCCCTCCGACACCATATCATCCATCGAAGATCGCTTCCAGAGCATCTTGAGCAGAATCCATGAGCGCCCCATCACGTCCATCCACCCCTTCTCCAGACAACCAGTCGTCACAACCATCAGCCAGGTGCGCATGATGCTGTTCTCGATACTGTATTCCCCAAACCGGGGCTTCCCCGCCGTCGCGTGGATCTTCGACCAGTTACTCCGCGGAAACGAGGATGTCCTCGCACAAGTCTTCCCGCTGCCCGAGCCCGAGCTGCTTTGTGCTCCTCAGACCCCGGCAGAAGTCCTTCCAAACGAGGCCCAGATTGCGATCATGTGCAGCGACAAGCGGTATCCGGTACGGCCCTCCAACGTCCCATTTCCCATTTCGCATTTCCCATTTCCAAATCCTAGCGTGTATACAGTGTCTGCATGCCCGACTAAACCAATGCCGTGTGCCCCACGCAGTTCAACGCCAGCCTCCCGGAGATCCAACACACCTTCGAAGAGATGGCGCAGGAATCATCCTGGGCCGACGTCTGGATGACCGTCATGATCGCCTGCGACGCCTACCCCGTGCAAGCAACCGACCCCCCCATGCGCTGGGACGACCACCCCCCCCACCGAGCCGACCCCGTCCCGACCGCCTTCCCGCTGCTCTTCCTCAGCAACACCGCCGACCCGGTCACGCCCCTGGCCGCCGGCGTGAAGATGGCCCGGAGGTTCGTCGCCGCCGGTCTCGTCGAGCAGCGCTCCATGGGCCACTGCAGCATCGCCGCCGTGTCGGGGTGCACCATTCGCAAGATCAGAGCCTACCTGCGGGAGGGCGTCGTGCCGCCGCACCCCGTCCGCGGGCGCCGAGGCCGAGAGCTCGTCGATGGGAAATGGGACCGGTGCTCGGCTGACGAGTACCCCTGGAAGCCCTTCGCCGGTGGCATCACCGTCGCCGAGCCCGGGACCGAGCCCGGGACCGGGGAGGGTGAAGTCGAGGCCGAGGTCTCGAGCATGCGGGCGATGAAGGAAGTGCAGGAAGTCTTTGGCAAGATGAGATCGTGGGGCCAGCCCGGGCTTCCGCTTGACTTTGACGCCGTCATGCCCGTGCCGAAGCGGAGCGAATGATGTAGTGTAGTGCACAGGACGGTCTGCTCTTCTCTCTTTCTCTCTCCTTTCTTTCTCCTTTCTCTCTCCTTTCTCTCTCCTTTCTCTCTCCTTTCTTTCCCCCTCTCCCTCTTTCTTTTGACCGCGGGCCCTACACACCAACACAGTCCAGAACGGGAGCAAACAGCCGTCTACTTTATGTATTATATCAGGTCGACAGGCCTGGCTTGGGATGGGGTTAGATAGGGACTTGGGTATAGAACCAGGAGCCGGCAGCGTTCCCTGTGAACCATTTCATTTCATCTCATCTCATCTCATCTCATTTCATCTCATCTCATCTCCTCTCATCTCCTCTCCTTCTGACCGTCCCCGTCCCATTCCCATCCCATCCCATTCTATTCCCATCCACCCACCCATCCACCCACCCATCCAATATCAACAAACAAATCGCTCCCCCCCCCCCGCCTAAATGTCATCCTCATCCTCATCCTCATCTTCAACCCCCCTCTCAAACCTTCCAACCTTCCAACCTCTCAACCCCCCCCCCCCCCCCCCCCTCCCCCCGTTTCCAAACACCCTACAGATAGATTACCGAGAAACACAACACAACCACAACACAACCACAACCACAATCCTCCCATCCATCCTCCCATCCATCCATCCATCCTCCCTCCCTAACCCACCTACCCCTCTCCCTCCCATCCCTCCCTCCTCCCTCCCATCCCCATCCCCATCCCCATCCCCATCCCCATTCCAAAAAAAAAAAACAAAAAAAACCAAAAAAAACCAAAAAACCAAAAAAACCAAAAAAAACAAAACAAAACAAAACAAAACAACGACGACGAACGAAC